AGGTCCGAGCGGGAAACAGGGGTAAAAATTAAACGACTTTCACTTTATTGCTTGTCGTGCCTAAATTCACCATGTACGACCGGTCCAAGGCCTCAGAAGAGCAACTCCTTCTTTTTGGGTCGTTTCGTCGTTTTTTTAGCCTTCGCACGAGCCGCCTCTCTTGCGGCTTTTTTTGCCACAATTTGCTTTGTCTTGCGGTTCAGCCGCACGTTTCGCTTCAGCCGCTTTGCCACCACCTGCTCCAACTCGGGATTCTCCGCAATCCACTCGTCTGCGAATGACTTGAGGCGGCGCCGTTTGTTTCGCCCCGTGCCAGCGAAGAAGCCAAACTCCACGAATTCGGTTTGCTCATTGCTGCTCTTTTTCGGCGCCTGGTGCTTCAGTTCGGGGTTGACGAAGTTGCGGAAGTGCAGCAGCTCCAGCTCGCGTCGCTGCTCCGCGCCAAGGTTCGCCTTCCGCATCCCGTACCACTGCGACAGGGTCGCGCCACGCTCCTTCCGCTCCCGCCGTATCGCGTCCTTCCGCTCCTTCCGCCCCTGCACGGAGTTGCTGTCGCTAAAGAAGGCCGGAGACGTCGTCGCCGCCTTCGCCATCATGGCCCTCACCGAGGAGGAGGCCATCGGAGGGATTCCTTCGCTTCGCTTCGCACCGCAGCTCCCACGAGGCACCAACCAACTCGAAGGGGCGACGGCACAAACGACGCGGGAAAAACAAGTCGCGCGGGCAAAGAAGGAAAGAAAGAGGCAGAAAAAGACGGTGAAGGAAGGAGCGGCGGAGAGGCCCGGATCAAAACAGGACGACAAAGCCGCCCACGTGGGGAAGCAGGCCACTCCACAAGAGACGCGAATAAAGGGGGGGGGGAGGAAAAAAAACGCACACACACAACTGGCGAAAACAAAAACAGAACAAGAGCAACAACACCAACAACAACAAAAAGGACCTCATGCCATGTGAGAGGACGGGCACAAAGAAAAACAAGAGCAACACAAGAAGAAAAGGAAAGAAAACAACTACATACAAATACATATGAAAGAAAGACATTTCCATTCTTCATCTTCTATACTCTTTTGGTCTCCTCCCCTCACTGTTTGATCGTCGACTTCAGTGCATGGGAAGCAAAAGTACTGGTTAACCCGCTCCCACCAACAACGAGCCAGGGGCATCCGACCAGCCGATAAGCGCTCATCTGGCCTCAAGCTCCTTAACCCTAGCTGCAAGGGTCAGGTTCTCCTGCAGGACATCGTGCAACATGCGCTGGAGGTTGCGAATTGGAAAGGCACTGGACAAGTCAACAGCACCAGAAGAAAGATGCGTCATCGCCGAAGATGCAGCAGCACTCGCGGATGGGACGTTTACAGCCGCCAAGTTCCTCGTGTCTCCCCGCTTCACAGTGGCGCAGCGCCAGCGAGAATCCTGCAAAATGGCATTATTGGAGGAAGTTTCCCTCTGCGTCTCCACCACAAGTCGAAGATGGGCCTCATTTTCTGCACTCATTTGCTTCCCACCGAATATACTCGCATGCTCCCGCGAGAGGGTTGTTTGGTCCCTTGCCGAATCATCTCCAGTGCAGGCCCCATGAATTTCGGCAACACCCCTCTGTGAAGGTGTCGTAGCGTGGGCAACAGAAGAGCTTTTCGCCCGTTCCAAGGCCCTGCTGCGAGCTTCCCATTGCTTTAGTTCTTCTTGCGAGTTCGCGAGGGCGGAGCGCAGTTCCTGGTTCACCTGTTGCCAGTGCTTCAACGCCAAACGGTGTTCCGACTCCTTCGCTTCAAGCCTCGAAAGGAGCTCCTGGACACGCGTGTCATTGCTGGCCTGGCTGCAGAAAGGTTCAACCACTACTGCTGTCACTGCTTCTTGCAGCTCCCCAGTTTCAGGTGCTTGTGCAGCCACGGCATCGGACACTGATGCTGCTTCGTCCCTTTGCGCCCTGGCAGCGGCTGTAGGGTTCGGGGCGGGGGTTGTTGCAGACGTGTCGCCGAGGGACGACGGGACAAACTGTCTGGAAACTTCGCACACCAGCCGTGTCGAGATGTGGTGAATCACTGTGCGGTGCACCTTATCCAGCAGCTCCCACTGCGTCGCCGCCCTTTTTCCATCACAGCGAGTCTGTTCGAGTGCGAACTGCCTCTCCCGCAGGGCTTCGCGAAGGCGCGCCATATCCTCCTTAAGCTGTAAAACATCCTCGTTGCCCGCAGAGTACATCTCCTCTGTCCGCAACTCAGAATCATTGACCTGCCGCTGAAGCTGCAGAACTGAGTTCTGAAGCGCGCGGTTCTCGCAACGAAGCCGCTGCACGCTTTCCCGCAATTTAACCCTCTCCGCCTCTTCCTCAGCCCTACACGCCGCCACGGCATCCGCCCCTTCACCCGCGTGCATCGCCTGCCGCGACTCGGGATGGTCGTGGAGCAAAGACAGCAAGCGATGTAACTGCCCCTCCAGCTGCCTGTTGTGCAACTGCAGCGCGTCGCGCTCGGCCGTCAGTGTCTCCAGCCGCTCGTTAAGCTGACCGTTACCGTACTCGAGCTTCCTAAACTCGCCTTGAAGCGATTTTGCTGCCGCCTGGGACTTCTGGAGGTCCATTTCTGTCTGGACTAAACGGGCTGTAAGGGAGCGCAGCGAATCACCCGTAGCCGCCGCGGGCTCCGCCTGTGTGGTGAGCCCGTCACACTCGCAGCTCTGCGGCGCATTGCGGTCACTAGCCTGCTGGATAACGTGCTGCACGGGAGAAACGGCGGCGGCGGCGGCGACGGCGGTGACCTCACCGTCGTTGAGTACGCCCACAAGAAGACTGCACTGAGAACGAACCGCAGCCAGTTCATTGCGGCACGCTTCTAGCGCCGACACGCACGTCGCAGTCTTCTTCTCCTGCTCCCGCAGCTTTTGCTGGGCCTGCAGCAACAGCTTTTGACCACTCTCCATTGCCAACAGCTTTACCCGCAAGACGCCACATTCCTCCTTGTAGTCATGCTTAGCCTCTTCCACAAACCGCAAAAAGCGTGACTTTGTCGAACCTTTCGCAGTTGCCTCTGACACTTCACTTTTCATTTTGCCCTTTACCACCACGCCCTCTAACACATCGCCAGCAGCAACAGTGCAAGTGCTGCCCGGGCCTTTGCTGGACACGCCGCTGCCGTTTACTTGGCTAGCCCTAATGGGAGAGGCAACAGCGGTGCTTCCACGAGAGGCAGCTGCGAGGAGCTCACGAAGCGCCTGCGTAGCATGGGGGGAATTTTCTGCGATGCTATTACATCCTACACGAATATTGTCGATGAAGGCACAGAGCTCCTCATTAAGTTGCCGGGTGTGCTGGTAGCTTTCCACGAGTTCCTCCACCGTCAGCGGTAAAGAGTCACGCTCCGTGTCAACCCCGCGGCAAAGCGGCATACAAACAAAAGCACCTTGCCAATTATCCCTTTTGTCGCACCCATCCTGTTCGGTTGGTGCCGTTGAAGCATGTGCGTATATATATATATATATTCGTGTTTTCATGGACAGAGGGAGAAAGCGAGAGGGCGAGAGGGGGAAGAGCGCCATAAGATGTTGGGTCCTGTTGCCTTTCACTTTACACGCACACGCACACACATACACGCATATATATTTGTTGAATGAGAGGAGGGAAAAAAGAGTTTCTCGCCGCCGCCTCTTTTCCCCCTCGTTCACGCCTCCATCACCTTCAGCAGCATCTCAAGCTGCGCATCGCAGCTGCGGCACCACGCCTCCAGCTTTTCCCGCAGCTTCGCAACGTCCTCGAGCCGCACCTCCCGCGCCTCGAACTGCTGCAGAACCACCACCCCGCCGCGTTGGTCAATGCGGCCACGCAACAGCCCGTCAGACATCATGTCAATAAGCAACGCTTCCGCCTCGGAGGGCACGGCGGCGCCGATGGTCTCCTGCACCGCTCGGATGCGGAGACCACCACTCATGTCATCGCGGCCGCAGAGGGAGAGGACGGACAACTTATTCATTTTTTGGTACAGCAACGGCGTCAGGTGGGCCTGCACTGCATCAGGGAGACGACGCAGCTCATCCACCACCCCGTAGCACAGGACCTCCAGCACTTGTGGGATCCACGCAAACAGGGGATTGCTACGGAAATTCTGCACCGAGGGAAGCTCCAAGAGGGAGCCGTAGAAGAAAAGCAAGGGTGCGTTAATGGCCTCCTCGGCCAACCTGGCGGCGTCAGCGTCACTCACGGCATCACCGATAAGCTGGACATACTCCTGCATAGTACACATTGTCCAGTCACCGTCTAGCTGCAAACTGGGCCGCACTATTTCTGCCGCCCCAGAAAAAGCAGAAAGGAAACGCGGAAGTGGACCCATCTCTCTCTCTCTGTATATATATATATAAAGTGAGCATTGGGAACATCAATAAAAAAAAGGACTCAAGAAAAAAAAACGGATATACTTCATGATAACTCAGAGGGCAGTACTCCCACAATATCACACCATCCAGCCGTCAAACAGGCAATGCCGCCACCACGCAGAGGTGCTGCACGTCATACGCAATCGTGATGGCGCCTACTTCCGTCTGTTGTGCGGCAGACTCTTGGCTCCTTCCACTCGCCTTGTCTCTGTCTCCTGTTCAGAGTCTTTGCTCAGCCTATCCCACAGGGCCTCAGCATCCTTTCTCGCCTCCACATACGCGGCACGTGCCCAAACCGCTATCTTCTCTGGCGCGTCACGCTCCAACCGTGCCGTCTTCTTCGCCACGCGCTCGATGATCGGCGCCCGTGAACCCTCCGAAACAACTGCAGAGAGCAATAGACGTTTGAGGTAGTTCAGTGGCATCAGTAGGGCAAGTGAGGCGCGTAGAGAGAAAAACAAAACAAAACAAAAAGTCAAACCAAACAATTTATATATCAGCACGCATATGCTCAAGGAGAGACTGTAGACGAAAGAAGAAGGCTATATAGCTATATCTAGAAGAATCCACGTCGCGACCCACAATTCAAGTCCTTGTGTATTCCCTTATCCTAGCTATCGCATGCACGCACGCACACACACGGGGAGAACACACACACACACATGCAACGGGACAAAAAAAAAAAGAGAAGCAGCAGAAGACCACGCATCGGGAAACATTTCATCAGTGAAGTTTTGCTGCAGCTGCGGCAGCGCCGGTATTACTATTGCAATCCCCCTCCGCTCTGCGAGACCTCCTTGCTTGGGTTTAATGAACATTAATCCCCTTGTAAAGAATCGCCTCCACCGACACCGGATCAAAGACGGAAAAAAGGAAAAAAAAAAGGCAATGTGCCGGCTTCTGTTAAGCCCGTGAAGTCCACCGCCTCGCTCTCTCGCCGCTTCTCCATCGCCTTCTTTTCCTCCTCCAGCTCTCACTTGGCCTCACTGTAGCACTTCACCTTCTTCTTCTCCTCCATCTGATAGATGGCGGCTTTGGGGATGTTGTAGCGCTCCGGCAGCAGCTCAATGAGTTGGGCCACCACGTTGCCCTGAATATCAATGGAGCTTTGCTTCGACTCCTCCGAGGACGTCACGCCGGCCCCGCAGGAAAACAACTTCTTCCACTCCCGCGAGACGTCCTTCAGGTTGAAGCCAAATAGATCCAGGCCCTTTACGGAGGTGGTCATCTTGCGCCCCTTACGCTGCGCCAATTCCAAGAGGACGATGCGTTCAATTGCCTTTTTTGTGCCGCGGCCCTGCACAAGCCGCTCCAGACGCTCCCGCTCCGTCAACGCACGTCGCTTGCGGCCGCGCTCTTCTGCCTCAGCGAGTTCCTTCGCATGTTCAAGCAGCCACGGGCGGCACTGCTCGTACATTCCACTGTACTCGCACATCTCGGCAGGAAAGGTGCAAATGGGGCAGTAAAGCACCTCCACTGGTTCAAAGCGCGAGACCGCGAGATCTTCCTCCAGTTGCTCCGGTAAGCCAGCCGCCAAGTCTACGGCGTTTCCCTCCGCCTTCCTGTTAGCTCCTACACCCTCCGCTGCTTTATCCTTTTCCGTGCTCGACCCCTGCGCCGCCGTCCGCGGTGGCGGCTGCGCCTGTCCCTCCTTCTTAGCCTTGCCACCGGCCGTCCTGCCAAGCTTGTTGCCGTGGTACACCTTCGCCTTGGCGACGGGCTGCTCTTCCGCGGATGCCGCGTCGGAGTGGGCGGAGGAGGCTTCGCTCAGCACCTCCTCCGCCTCGTGCGCGGCCGTGGGCTTGCCCTTCTTGTTTCGCCCCATTCTCACGAACGATGGAGAGCTGATGGACCTCTGGCGTTGTGCACCGCCCAAATTCCACGGAAGCAAAGAACCGCCGCGCAACAAAAAAAAGCGCAAGCCCACAGAAGCAAGCAGGCAACCGCACAGATATATATATATACATATCGAAGGGGGGGGGAATAAAAAAAAAAGCAAGAAAGTCATAAAGTCAGTGGCCACACGAAGAGAAACAGGATTAAGTACAAGTGCATACAAGAGAAGGATTCAAAGAACCAATAGTTAACTAGACAAGCAAGAAAAAAAAAAGTTTGGCCCAGCTGGACCGCGTCGATTTTGATTGCACGTCGCGCTCCTCTCCTAGCACTCGCCTCACTGTAGCCCAAGCAGTAAATAACTTGTCACCCAAAGTGGTGGTGATGGTGGTGGTGGTGGAAGAAAAAGTTGACAGTTATACAGAGCAGAAAAGGGCCAGGAAGAAGTGAACTCTTCCAACTCGAATGTAGGAGCAAGGCGATGGGGAACAGACCACACATACAACGACAGGAGAAGAACAAAAACAAAATTACTGTTCTACGCCTATAATGAACAATAAAGTAGTAGTCATGAGTAAAACACACACACACACACATACACGCGCAAGTTTATTTGTACATGGTAAGAAAAACAGCTATATACATAAGCAAGGGAGGCCTTTAACGTACTGACAAAATAGCATAGACAGCACTTTCAGTGCTGCGTTTCGTGTCCGGCATACTCATCATTTACACACTCCCCCGCCCACTCCACTTTCAGTTAACCAAGAGTACACACCTTTACGCATTATGCTCGCCCCCATGGAAAGAAGTTGAGCGGGCGGGAGACAGCGACGTTGGAGCGGACACCAATTGTGGTGGTGACGGAAGCTGCACCAGAGGCGGCAGCTGGGCGGCAGCCCCAGCATCTCGCTGCGGGGACACCGGTGGAAAAGGATTCATTTCTGCTGGTTCGCTTGCGCTTGGTGTTGGGTGCACCTCCAGTACTGAATGCGAGTTGGGTAGCTTCTTGAGCCTCACTAGCGGGGGAAGCCCTTCGGTCGGCGGTGGGCGCGGGGGAGTTTTGGAGTACACACGCACCACCGTCCGCCTGGGTTGGTGGTCGTTGCCCGCATCGCCGCTTCTGGCGTCAGCTTCGCGGGGCCTACTGGGGCGCTGCACCATCTCGGAAACATCCTTCCTTATCTCCTCAAGTACATCGCGTACCTCGTTTTCGTGCTGTTTTGCAATTTCCAGGGTGGCGTCAAGCACCTGTCTGCGGGTGTCGCTGATGGCAGCGAGAACCTCCTCCCGGGGCATTCCGAGCCGGTTCTGAAGGCTGCGAAGCTCCCCCCAGACGTTGTTCAACTCCCCGAAGAGGGAGGCCGGTACAAGGGCCCCCGGATCCGGGTTCAACGGCGCGGCGTTCTCCGTCACGCTCGCGGGCCTCGGCTGCCCCTCTCCGCCGCGCTCCAACGCCCGCGTCCGCTCAATGAGCAGTAATATCTCATTACGCACGGCATTGTCAAGGAACTGAACCTGACTCTGGAGGGCATCCATGTCCCGCTGGGGGGTAAAGGCGCCGTGCGCCTCCGACCAGACTTTGTTCAGGGCAGCCGCTATCGCGCTGTGCATCTCAGAACGGTAGCTCGAAAGCGGTTTTATGCGTTCAAGCAGATCACTGTGAGAGACCCGAACCGCAGCCTCCATCAACGAGCGCAGCTGCATGCCGCTGCGCTCCAGCATGGCGGAGAACCCGCTAATTTCCTCACGCAGGCGCTGCTGCTCATCCTGCACCGCCCGCAGCGATTGCCGGCCAGCGACGACATCCTCACGAAGATGCACCAAGGAGTTCATTTTAATCTCTAGTGAATGCGTTAGGCTCTCCACGGTTTGACGTAGCTGCGCCGCGAGTTGTTCCACCTGGGCATTCACCTGCGAAAACCTTTGCTGAAGGCCGACGTCCACGGCCACCAATTGAGACATGTGGCTTTTCCATCCGTCCTGCACCTTCTCACCAAGGTTTGTCAGACTCGAGCGCCAGTTTGAGTCAACTGTTTCCACCAGCTGCCGCTGCGCGGCGACTTCGGCGCGGAGCTGCTGGTATGCCAGCTGTTGGGCTGCCTCCGACGACTGCTGTCGAGACGACACATTCTTGACATCATTGGCCAAAGTAGTGTACAGAGCTCGTAAGGCGTCTTGCGTGCTCGCATTTTCGGCATTTAACCCCTGCCTAACCGCCGCAAGATCGTGCCCCAAGGAGTCATGAAGAGATTGCATGTCTGACTTTACTCTCTGATCTAGTGCAAGAAGCGAGGCCTCTGTCGACTGAGCAGAGGACTGCATTTTTGCAAGTAGACTTTCAGCTAACAACTTAACATCACCAGACATGGATTTGTGCAGCTCCGCCAGGGAAGCGCGCAGGGCACTATCCACCGCATCCACACGCTGACGAACCCCCACAATCTCTCCACTTGCGTGTTGCTGGACAGACTGTATGTCACCCCGCAGAATCTGCTCCAAGGACTTCGTCGCAGAGGACTGTGACTGCAGCATCGACTCCACGTTGCGTAACGCTGACATCAGCGAACCCTCTAAGGCTTGCAGCCGTTGATAGCAGCCAGCAATGTCACTATTCATCTTTTGCTCCAACGCCTTAGAAGTCCCCTGCAGGCGCTCCTCCAGCACCTGCACCGATGAAGCCTGACGCGACAGGGCGCCCTGCATTGCCTCCATTCTGCCGTTTTGGTTCTCAAAGCCCCTATTCATCCGAGACGCCAACTCCTCACTCCGCGTGGCTTGATCGCCTCGACCGCGAGCCTCGCTCGCCGAGACGTGCTCCTCCAACGCCTTCAGGCGCTGCAGCACCATCACCATGGCCGACTCGCTCCTGCGCAGGAGATCCTCCATCGAGGCCACCCGGTTGCTCAGCGACTGATAGGCCTCCATTGAGCCGCGCTCCCCGCCCGACGCACACGCTTGCTTCAACTTCAACGCCTCACCGCGGCGCAAAGGGGAGCCTGCCGAGCCACCGCCACCCCGCAGCAGACGAGGTGCGACACGGATCAAACTGAAAAGCCTGCCACACAAAGCGCGCGCCCACCCACCCACCCCCACTGACCCACACACACACACTAATCCTAGTTATGGAAACCACAAGAAAAAAAAAAGAGCAAAAGAAATCAAAGACAAAAATAAAAAAAAAATAACTCTCAAACAAATGAGAAAAGGCGGCAGTTGGAGAGTTGTTAGACAAAACAATTCCAAGCGGCCGGCCACGACGGTAGTGTTCTTTTAACAACAGATGGACCTCGGTGAGGAAAGCATTAAAGAGGCATAGATACGCATATATACGAGGCTGTTGTTTGTTACTTGTTTGCCTCCCAATTTTTTTTCTTTTTTTTTTCACGGCGTTGTTTGCTTAACTATCCATGCCTATATGTATGTGTGTTTCTTTTCTTTTTATTCCTTTCTTCCTCCCTCTCTTTTTTTTTGTTTCGCTTTAATCGAGGAGAGACTAAACAGCCTCGGCGGAGCGCTGCCGTTTCTGCGGGACTCCATCCACGTTGGCGGCAGCGCGAAGAAAAGGCGGCTCGGTTGTGAGTGTCAGTGGACCCAGCGAGCGAGTCACGTAGTCAATGTAGTACGTCCGCCGCAGGACCTCGTGGAGGCGTTGACTGTGTCGCTGCATGTACGCTAGAAGCGCCTCCAGTATACTGCGCACCGCCGGCATGGCGGCCAACGCCGTGAAGTGGTACGCCGCAAGGACGGAGTGCATCACAAGGCTCGCGACACCGCAGTAACGGGCGTTGGTGACCCACTCGCGTGTAAACTGCAGGAGCCGCAGCAGCTGCTCCTCGCTGAGCGAGGGAAGGATCGAGCGACACAGCGAGGCTTCACACTCCTGTGGGTCCTTTACCGACCACCTCATGATAACCTGCCGCAGGTTTCGTGGGTGGTTCAGCCGCAACGCGAGCATGAAGGCCTCCGTGTATTGCCCCTTGCGCAGGGCGTTGGCAAGCTCCTGCTCCTGCAGTATCGCGTCGTGGCGCTCGCTGCGCACGCGTTCCGCCTCCTCTGAGGTGTAGTCCTCGGTGGCCACCAACACCCCGTCCGCGGAGCCCGACAAGAGCAAGACACTCTCATGCACCTGCTCCACAACACTCAACGCCCACACTCCGCCCTCGTGTGTCTCGCCGGACCAGACCACCTCCGACTCGGCGATCGCCCAAACACGCAGGACACCCTCCGCGTTTCCAGTCACAAGTTGTGTTCCCCCATTAAAGAATGCCACCTGCAATACAGGGCTGCGGTCCACCTGCAGCGCCTTCACACAGGTCAAGGAAATGAGGGACCATAGACGAATACTTCCGTCGTTCGACGCAGACGCCAACACACGGTCACTCGGAGAGAACGAGAGCGACGACACCGCACGACGATGGCCCTTCAAAGAGGCCTCTCGAAAGAGCTTTTTGCCAGTGAAGTTCCACAGATGAACGTTCTTGTCCTTACCGGCGGTTGCCAAGTACTGATCATTGGGGGCGACCGCCACCGCGTGGATGGAACCCTCGTGGGCGGCGTTAATGCCGGAGCGGTGTGCGAAGACAACGGGAGTGGCCGCCGTTGGCGGCTTCGCTGCCGTCCCAGCATGCGGCAGCGCAGGGACGACGTGCACCCCGGCATCCCAGAGCCGCAGGTTCTCGTCGGCGCCTACGGAGAAGAGCGCCATGAAGCTCTCCGACTGTTTGGCGTTAAAGGCAATGGCGGTGATGTCGGCCTCGTGGCCGCCGCGCCCAATCGCAACGGTTTCCCACGTGGCGGTGGACCAGAAGCGAATCTCGCGGTCCTTCCCAGCGGTGGCAATGACGCCGGCGTCGGCAGAAACGGCGCACGTCAACACAATGTCCTCGTGCCCGCGCAGGGTCTGGGAGGAAAAGCAGCCGCTCGTCGGATAGCAGCGCACGTCTCTGCTATTTGTTACGACGACGCGCTGAAACGGAAATCCGGGGGGAAAGGGCTTGAGGTCCAGCACCTGGTCTAAGAATCCCACCAGCGTGGAGGCGGCGCTGTACCCGCTCCCCGCTGCGTCGGGGCGAAGCAGCGAGATGTTGAAGGCGGCGTCAGCGGCGTAGAGCGACGAAGAGTTGCCGTCGTCGAGCAAACCGTACAGAGGCCCGGCCTCCTGCATCCCTTTGGGGCTCTGCGCAACCAGCAAACTTCGAATGGCCCCTTCATCGTCTGCGGGTCCGTCGGCCCCCACGGAGTGCCCTCGCATTCGGCGCGCAAGCCGCAAAGGCTCCGTGACACCAACCCTGTAGGTGGCAAGTGTCCCGTCAACCGCGCCAACGTGCAGTCGAAAGGGGGACTCAAACACCGCACTGGTGACGTGCTCCTTCACGACAAAGCTACGCACCTCCTCTAGCTTGGGTGAGTCCACTGCGCAGATGACAAGTTTGCGGTCACGCCCAATTGAAAACAGGTGTTCATTGTTAGGCGTCAAACACAACGCCTCCACGGCCGAGACGTGAGGGTGGCCGTGCGTAATAAGGGTTTTGCCAACAAAGTCAAACACCGCTACGTGACCTTCGAAGCTTGCCACACAGAGCAATTTTTCTGTCGGGTCAACGTAAACGGAGTGGACGAGGCTAGCTGAAGGAATGCGTAGATTATGTGTGAGGTGGTGATTAAAGACATCCCACACTTTTACCCCACCATCGGTGGAACCAGAAACAAGGTAGCGTCCACTGAAGGTGAACTGAACCACGGCAATGGCCTGCTGAGCCGCCGTCCAGCTACGCAGCGGCGTGAGTGCACACGAGAAGTCTTCGCTGTGACTGGTGGAAGGAGTCACCGGGGAGGCGGTGTCTTTGGCCTCCCCCTCCTCATGGATGCGGTCAAGCCGCAGCACGTAGACCTGCAGGGTTCGAGTGCCTACGGCAATGTAACTACCGGAAGGCGCGGACGCAGTAGGAGAGGGATCGAGTGATGGGTTCCTCAGATCCGAGTCGTTTCCTTCCGCCGCTTTTGTTTCTTCCTTCGCCTTGTCAAGCCTTCGCTTCTTGCCATTCCCGGCAACGCAGTTGGCGGTGCCAGGCGTCGACTCATCGCGAGGCATAATCGACACGGCATCCACACGAAGGATGACGTCCTCCAGCGGCAGTTTGTACGACGCCAACAGCTCCCCCGTGCTTGCGCGAAGCACGTTCACGGTGTCGCCGCAGGCCATCACAAGGCCCTCCTCGCCCGGCGCGGACGCGGACGCGGACGAAGACAACGACGCGGAGGAGACCCCGCGCGGGGCCGGCAGCTGCAGGGAGGCGACATTGCCACCGCTGTACAGCGGCGACTGCGACCACCTGGTGCGAAAACAGTTCTTCCCCTCCATCCGCGCTCGCCACCAGACTCCGGACAGGGACGTCGGTCAACCGCCAAAAAAAAAAAAGAACAGACTGTCCCTCCTTCCCTGTTAAATATTTTTCCCCCTTCTTGCGCAGAGTTGTACAAGCACGGAGAAAATAAGCCAGACGACCTCCCAAAGATATTGTAACAGCAAAGAATATACACATGTGCACATATACATATATATAAGGATGCATGAAAATACACACACACACACGTAGCCCGGGTTCCAACGAACCTTTAGGAGGGAAATTCGTTACAACGAGACGCCGGAGCAACATCAACGGGGAGTTAAATTTAGCACCAACAAACACACACACGCACCGACGCAGCGAGAGAAGGACAGGTACAGAACATGAAAGAATCAACACTGAGCAGGGCCCAAATCCTCATTCGTTTAACCAGTCATCCTCCGTCCCACCGTCAAACTCGCTCGTGAGACCAGGCACAAGTTCATCAATATGCGATACATTCACGGATCCGGCGCCTCGGCCCCTCAATGCACGCGTTAACGCATCCTGCACGGTTGCGTGCTCCTTAATGGGCTCGCGTCGTCGCTTCCGTGTCGTGCGCGACTCCTCGAGTTTCTCAATTTCCTCCTTCGTGCGCGCCTTGCCGAGGTCCCAGGCTTCCCCGTAGAGGGCCTCCCCCACCTTCTGGCGACGCAGTCGTTCCTCGTTGTCCAGCACCAGGTAGGGGTCCAGGTCGGTGGTGTCCTCCAGGGCAGGATCCTGCAAGACGATAAACTCCCACGGCAAAGCGAAGCGTCTTTCGCGATCGTACAGCGCCTCTGCAAGGGACTCCGGCAGCGTCGCCGCGCTTCCCGCTGCGTTGGGCGGAAGGGGCAAAGTTGGGGCAGGGCCGTCGTCCGCGCCCGCGTCTGCAAAGTCAAATTCCCGACGAAGTTCCAAAACATTCGGGTCTTGGTTCATGAGTTCTTGGTAGTACGCCGTCATCTGCCGCATTGGCGGCTCCAACTGTGTCGGCGGAGGCATTTGCGAAAGCCCGTTTGAGGGCTGTGAGGCACACTCCGACTCACTGCGCTCCTGCTTCAGCAGTATCTTCACCTCCTCCCGCCGCACACTCTCCCGCACCTTTTCCGGGTCCATCGGCTTCGTGTTGGGAAGGCCGAGTATCTGCAGCTGCTGCTGCGGCGACAGCTTAGCCAGGTCCAGGTTCGCCTCCGTGGCTGTGGTGTTTTCCAGCTCACAGTGGCGCTCAAGGAAGCGTCGCCACTTCTCGCAGCGCTCTGCCGTCGCGGGGGCGGAGACCTTGGCCTCCGCCACAAGCTCGTAGTAAGTCGCTGAGAGCCTCCGCATTTCGGCATCCACGTCAGCGTCGGCGGGAGTCGGGCCGGAGGAACTAAACGACGGAGGCAGTGAAACCTCACTCTTCGTGTACTCATCAATACTTTGCAACCCGGCCGTTGTTGTGGATGCGAACTCGTCCAGGCGCCGCACAATGGTTCCAGCCGTGAGGCGAACAAAGCCACACACCTCATCCGGGGAGCGCGGGATGTTAAACATGTAGCATGCGACGAGCAGAGCCGCAACGCAAACCCCCATAGGCCGCCTCCCACAGCTGATCCAATCGTCCCGCATGGCACGAAGCACCTTCAACGCACATACCACCACGGGCCCTGTCATGGCGCCTAAATCCATCTGCTCCGCAAAGCGGTGCACCATGCAGGAAGGGTCGATGACGGGCACTTCGGTGTGCGTCGCCTCGCAAATCTGACGCATGTAGGACAAAATCTCATACGGACTTTCCCCCGTCACCTCGGAAAAGTCGTATATCATGTGCGAGGTCCGTTCACGACGACACACGGCGTAGAGGACGGCCGACAAAACGGCGGGTCGAGCACCGGACACCGCGTTCAGGCCCACCGCCAACTTGTATATAGCCAACGCCATCTCAATCATGTCATCGCTGATATCTAGCTGACGCGCAATGGAAACCATGCCACGCCGAGCGACCTCTATGGAAGGGCGGGCGGACGGCATCCTCGCCCCAATGACTCCCCGTGTGGGACGAAGATGCCCAAGTGAGCGCAGGCCCCGTGCATTTGACTTTTCCTCGCGGGCAAACACCGGATCCAGCTCAAACTGCTGATCCTGCACAAGGTCGCCGCAGAGCGTGCACGTGATTGTTCCCCGCACTCGGTCCGAGTACTGCGCCGAGGCGGGGTGCGTGCAGAGCGGCATGGCTACACCACAGATGGGCGTGCGAAGGAGAGAACAAAAAAAAACGAAAAAAAAACGCAAGAATCTTTTTTTTTTTTACCCCCGTAGAACAACAACGAGAAATAAAAAAGTGCAGAGACGCCCCCGCGTTTGCGACCTGCCACAGGAGACACAACAACGACTCGCGCCGTGGGCAAAACAGCCAACAGGCATGCAAGCGGAGAGAGAGCGAGAGAGAGAGAGAGAGGCAGATACA